CCAGATGGGGGAAATTATCCGCATCTCGCTGAATTAAACGCCCGCCAATAGCTACACCGCTGGCGTCGGTGTGCCCCTCCCACTCTTTATCGAAATCGGGTATGGCCAGTACCGGGGTCGTAATTAGATGCCTCTTCATTTTACGATAGGCTTCGTCATGTTTAGGTTTCCAAACGCACTTAGCATTTTTCTTCGTCTGATCAGTCAGGGGTGCAGAAATGCCAGCGAAACCTTCAATGTGACAACGAAAATTATCTGGCCGCTCCCAGAAACCTGCGTATGTCGTTTGCTGTATTTGGAGTAGGCATGTCTGCAATTGCGCTGCAAGGGCCTAAGTCAGATCAATATCTGATATATTCCCTTGTTTGCAAGCTAATTCCCACACTTAACATAACTAATACCTCCCTTTCCACGAAATTGGGCATTAATTAAGGGTTAATTAATTGGTCCAACCCCGATTAATTGATCTATCAGGTTTTGGTTTTGATTGGTTGGTGGTGGCAGGCAGAAAGATCCTTTGAGTTTGCTAGAGAGCCTAGTAAAGGAGTCTCGTGAGTTGTAGTTCCTACGGCAGTCAAACGCCTGAGGTCATGAGGCGTGGACTTAGCTAAGAGTTAGCTCTGGGGTCTTGAACTTAATTTTAATTACGGGCAGGGTAAAGGACAAGAGAGAGCCTAAACCCCGTCCCGTGTTACAATGGTAGTAAGCCGCCAGGGGGGAGGGTGGGGGAAGGCCAGGGAAGGGTTGGAAGGTAGGGCCTGGGAGGGGTTGAGGTTGGGGTTGTAAGCAGGGGGTTGTAGGGTGTGAGGTTTGGGGTTGTGGGGGTTGGGAGAGACCAGGTTGTGGGGGTTGAGAGGGAAATGTAGTGTTCCATAGTCCCAGTAACTCATTGACCAGGGCTTGGGTGGGGATAGACTGTGACTGGGGTTGGTAGGTAGGGGTTGGTAGAGGTTGCGGTAGGTAGGTGGGGTTTGGGTGGAGGGTGGGGTGGGCAACTGGATACGGGTTGGGTAGGTATTCCGATTTTTTTGGAATATTCCGAGGATATTCCGAGAATTTTTTTCATCTTATAAAAGTGTTCATTTATGTTCCCTGATAATGTTGGGAAGGGGGGAGGAGAAGGAGAGAATCGTAGTCATTATGAGGTTCAGGAATCATCCTGGCTTGTAGACTGCCCTTTCTTCTCGTTGGAAGCGTGGCATTTGTTCTGCCAGTCCCCTGTGTGCTTGAGTGGTGCAAAGCTCATACGGTGATTCAGGTTTTCCTGGGGGGCGACTTTGAGCACCTCATTGTGGGCTTGTTCGCCCCTGACCTTTCTCGGGATGTCATCATTGTGCAGCTTCAAGTGTAGGTTCCCTCCCACTCGGCTGCGCTAGTTGCTGGGGATTTGCGCGCCCAGGGCCTGTTGGCTTCGGTCTTGCGAGTTCTTTTCTCTTCTCAAGTTGTCCTCAGACGGGCTTGAGGAGGATATAGAGGTACTTTTGGCCAATCATGGGTCAGTTACGTTAGTCTCGGCTGTGCGTGTGTCGTTTGCTCTTTTGAAGCCGTTTGCACTGATCCTGCGGGATGCGGTATCACTGTTTTTTGCTTCCCATCTCACATGTCAGCAGGCAATGCTTGCTTCCTCTGTGGAATCTGCTTGGGCCCTGGCTCTTAGGTTGCTTTGCTTTTTTGTCCCTTGCTGTTTGCAAGCTCTGCAGTGGTGCAGTATCTGCAGGCAGCTTCTTCCAGTTGTCATCCCATGTCAGACTTGTTGGTTCTCCAGGGGGGATGCCCTGTGGGGGGTCTTTTCGGAAGGGTCGTGCCAGGGCTCCGGGTTCTTCCCATTGTGGTAGGCCAGTGGTGCTAGTTTCGGAGATGGCGCGGCCTTCGAAACCGTCTTCGTCTGGTTGGCACAGAGGTCGGGTTCTCATAAGGGGTGTCGGCCCTTTCGTGGTTCGTCCCATTGACAGGGTGATGGGGGGGGGGGAGTCTCGCTCTGTTTGCTCACGCCTGGTCCCGTGATTTGTGGGCCTTTCAGTTCGTTTCAGTTGGCTCTGTTTGGATGTATGGGCTCCTGGAGGTGAACCTCTTCGCGTCGGCGTGGTTGAGGCATCTCCCAGTATATATGGAGCCCTTCCCCGACTGCTAGGCTGTCAGGGTCGATGCCTTCAAGCAGGACTGGTCGAGGTGGGGTTACTTGTATCTCTTCCTCCCCAGTTCCGCTGTTGCTCCTGGTCCTAGCTCGTTTGGAGACTTTCCAGGGGAGAGTAGTCCTTTTGGCTCCTTGGTGGCCAACCCAGCTTTGGTTTCGGGTGCTGCTTGCTCGGTGTCTGAACCCGCGGGGTCTTCCCTCGGCTCCGCTTCTTTCAGCAGATCAGGCCAGTCCGTTACATGGCTGGTTAGCTCTTCTCGTTAAGTCTTCGCGTCTGGTCTTTCTGATGGGGGTCTATCACCACTTATATGGTGAGAAAATGGCTTCGTTGATGGTGTCCCACCTGCATGCTTCGTCTCAGCGGCAGTATGAAGTTTCCTGGCGGTCCTTCCATTATTTCTTATCTCTTCATAGGTTTCCTTCTATCTCTGACAGGGTTGTCTTTTCCTTCCTTTTGTGGTTGTTCCAATACCGTCATCTCATGCCGAATACTGTCACCTCGTATTGTACGGTGTTGGGGGAGCCACTGCAGCTTGCATTCAGCATTGATGTTACTTCTGTGCCATGCCGCAAGCTGTCTCGTGCGTTGTTTCACCTCTGGCCTGCTCCTGCGCCGCTTTAACCATCCTGGTCATTTGACCAGATGTTCTACTTTTTCTTTTCTCCTCGGTTTATGGTGGCCCCCTTTGGTTCAGGACTTTTTCTATGGCTCTTTTCTTGTTGGCATTGGCCTCTGGGGGTCGGGTTAGGGAGCTTCATGCTCTCCTCCTGCACAGAGATTTCTGCTCTTTTGGTCCTGGTGATAGGTTTGTTCGGTTGCAACCGTCTCCTTCTTTTCTGGCGAAGAATGAGACTGCTGCTTTCTGGAAGGGTCCTTGTGTTGTTGATGCTTGGTTAGTCAGGCCGGGGGTGCATCATGTGTTGTGTCTGGTTGTGACTCTTTGCCGTTACCTGTGCGCCATGGCCTCAGTGGCTGGGGATGCACTTTGGGTTGACCCAGTTTCCCTTCTTCCCTGTTACAAGGTTTGGGTCTCCCAGGTCGTCCGCAGGGTAATTCGGTCCAGCCAGCCTGCGGTCTATCCTCGTGCCCACGATGTTTGTAAGTTTGCTGCGTTGGCTGCCATCTTCAGTAACATGTCTTGGGCTGACATTCGGGCACAGGGTTTTAAAGGTCGAACAGGGTCCCGGCCGCTTCCTACCGAGTCGGTGTTCCTGGGCCTAGTCAGGCCTGTGTCGCTTTTGGTCAGCGGTTGCAGTCAGTTGTCTCAACTTTGCGTTGAGGAACGAGGGCTGACTGCCTCCCTCTTGTTTTTGTCTTTGGGTAAGTAGCTCCGGGAAGCCGACGGAGCTCCCCCCAGAAAACTAGCGTTGAATGTAATGAAATGCCATTTTCTGGGTGAGACCCAGAAGCTCCCCTGCAACCCTCCCTCTTTCCAGTTGGCGTTTTTTTCACGTGTTTTGACATCCAGCCTCAGAATTATGGGTTTGGATAGCCGGCACAGGGGTTTGAGGCTCCCCTCTTACCCCTCTCGAGGAAAGGGGGGTTGCTCAGACAGCGGCACGGTGACGTGGTCACGTCATTCTAGTTTGCTCGTTTGCCCGTTTTCATTTGCGGAGTTCTGTCAACTAGTTTGGCTTTCAATAGCAATATTTTAACTAGAATATGTGTTTGTTTTGGGGCGCTTACCGTTCTGGGTGCTTGACCCCGGTTGATGGCAGACATAGAATGCTTCTAACCACACTACGGTTTCTATAGGCCACTGCTCCTTGTATCTATCTGAGGGAGGCCAGGTTCTGGCTCATGCATTGACTGATGCCAGAGACTCATATATTTATATCAGCCCGGTTAGCTCTGGGGAGCCTCCGGGTCTCACCCAGAAAATGGCGTTTCATTACATTCAACACTGTTTTTTTTTTTTGTAATTTATAGCTAAAAGTGCTACATTATATCAAATGGTGAAAAAATATGATTTGTTGGATAGTACTTTATATAGCAATTTTGATTGAATGGAAAATGCTTTTGTGAATCCATTTCAAATCCTAGAGAAATCCATTTCTCGAAAAATGCTCAGAATTTTTTTTATGTTCTTTTGAGGTAGTCATTATATAAGGGTCTGATTTTGGATATGATTGTATATTGTCTTGAAATAGGCTGCATAAATTTAAATAGTAATGATCATTCGATGTTTATGCTTAAGAAATACAGTACTGCAATTTAAATAGTTTTGAATTCTTCTTTGAAATCAGAATTGACTAAGAATTCAGTCAACCCTCACTATCCTTGAGAGATGCATCCTGGTAAAACTGTTGCAGTTAATGCTAATTCAAAGAGAACACAATTAAGGTTGTTTTGAGAAATATGTATGGGTTTCAGAGACATAAAAAAAAATCCATCCCCCTAAATAAAAGACCCATCTGAATGTTATTACCAACTACTGCCAAATCCTTGCAACAAATGTACTTGTATAAATGGAATTTATAAATTCACCAATGATGCAGTGATGCAGTATATACTGCAAAACATTTTAGAGGAGTCTGGTGCAAAATTATAATCCTAGTGATGTGTAAGACACAAAAACCTAAATGAAATTGTAGATTGGGAATGCAGCCCACAAGTTCAGGCAAGTTTTGCATTAAATGCCCACTGAGTGGATAGGGAAATTCATGAGTGCTGAACTCACAGATGGTGTGGGCCAACTGTTTCTTTAAGTAACATTAATAAATCATATAAAGTAGAACATTATTATTTAACAATTCTTTTTGGTACAGTACATAGTGCTGTTCAGAGTACATTCTCATTTTGTTTTGTTTGCTGTTTATATTTAAATATCTTTATATTATGGCAGGATTTAATTTTTTTCTTCAGGTAAAAACTCATTTACAATCTCAAGCAGCAGAGTCTATTGCTGTTGGTCACCAGCATCATCATCAAGGTGAGTGATACAAGATTCATGTTATCTTATTCAACCCATCTTTGTACAGTATTTGGTTACTGAAAAAATTATTGGTTTCTAAGGAAGCCCCTTGTGACTCCCTGAAGCTATCTCTCTGACTAGTGACCTAGTAGCTGGGATCCATCAGCAGGAGACTTTTGTTTGGCCTACCAGGGACCAGAGCCAAAACCTGGTCCTTAGAAAGGTGCCGACAGCAGGTAGCACTGCACTACCCCATATCTAGAAAGGTAGTGAACCAATACTGGGTTCACTGGGTTCAATAACACTGCTGGGTTAAAAAGAAACAAAACCGTTAAACTGCCAAACGAACGTCCCTTACAACTTAAACAATCAAATGTCTTGAAACTAACGCAAGCTCGTTAGCACTAAACCCCCAATATAACTCTACAACTGATGACACCTAGTAGTTTGGCACTTAGTCTATGTGATAGCTTCAGGGAGCCTCTGGAGCTCACCCAGAAATTGGTATTTCATTACATTCAACACTCGGTTTTCTGGAGGGGGGGAGCCCCTTCGGCTCCCCGGAGCTATCCATGGCTGATATGGATACCCTAACTATTTTGCATCGGTCGATGTGGGTGGAGTTCTAGCCTACCGGGGACCACGAGCCAAAACCTGGCCCCCTTCACAGAGGCACGGGAAGCAATGGCCCATAGAAATGCACATGTGATTTGGAGCATTCTGTATCTGCCATCGACCGGGACAGGCACCCAGAAAGATAAGCACCACAAAACAAACCCCTATTCTGGTTAACAACAAAAATCCTCAAACGAGTGGACAGAACTCCCCAAAAGAAAAACGAGGAAACAAGCATGACGTCACACGAGCCACGCTGCATGTCTGTGCAGCTCCCTCCTCCCTGGCAGGGAAACGGGGAGCCCCAGACCCTCGCGCCTGCAAACCCCGCCTCAGTTCCTCAGCTGATGAGATCGTGCATAGTCATGTGGCTCCAGCTCTGGTCTTCTCTCAGTGCTGTTCCTTGTTTTTCAGTGCTGCTCTTACAGTGGTCGTGTGAGCTGGGAGTATTATTCTCAGGTACTCGGGCTGCATGTGCATAGGGTCACCTTCCCAGAGTGCTCTGTAAGTACCGCCCTTGGGGCTTGGGGTTCTCTTCCACAAGTCACCTTGGGTCTACCTCTGTTGACCTTTCATTGCTTGGCGTTGGGCCGCCCCGAGTGTTTGGGGGGTTTTCCTCCTTTGTTTGCCTTGGGGTAAGTGGTAGTTATTGCACTGGTGGAGCACAGCGTACTGCGTAGCTAGTTTTCACCTATAACAGCGACTGTCTCTGTTCCCTCTGGGTATGTTGTCCACTTGCGTGGTTTTTCTTTTCTTTTTGCCTGGTGAGGGGGTGGAGTCTGCCTTGTGCCCTCCCACCCTCCTTATATTAAGGTCGTTTTTTGTGGTGGCACCCCCTGCTTCGCCCTCGTGAGTGGACACGTCCTGTGGGTTAAGCTTTTAGCATTTCGCTTGGTAGTTTGGGGTGCCAGTTAGCAGTGCCCTGCCTGGGATAACCTTTAGCAGACCCAGTCTAGGGGCCCTGGAAAACCCCGCGGGGCTCTCGGGTCCGATGGAGGAGACCCTTGCGTCCCCTCTCGCTTTGTGCGAGTTTGAGGGTTGCTCTGTCTCCTTGTCTCAGGGTGACACTCATTGTTTTTGCCTCCGTCATGCTGCCTGTTGGGTCGGTGACACATTCGACCCTGAGTCCTGCGAGCTGTGTTGCTTGTTCGTGACTCAATTCACCCAATCTGATGATGATTTGCTTCGGGTGCAAGCAGCTTGCACGTTGCAGGGTAGGTTTAATTTGTTGCAACGCGCTCAGGTTTTCACTTCCCCAGATGCCCCGAGGCTGCCCCGCTTTGTCTATAGGGACTCGGACTTGGGGATATTGGTCACTTCGGCCTCGGTTCCATCCGCACCCCCTTCGTTCTTTCCCTTTGGTGGTTCATTTGGTCCTCCCCATCTCCCCTGCTTCCGGCCCCTAAGTGTCTGAGGGCTTCGGGGTCGGGGCAGAGTTTAGAGGTTTCTGAGACTCAGGCATTTTCGGGGATTCCCCCGTCCGGGGTGGCTGCGGAGGTATTCGAGTCTGACCAGTGGGCCCCTTCCCTTCCGGCTCTTTCGGCTGCCTCGGCTTTTTCTTGTGAGGCTGGGGCTTTCGAAGACGACACGGCCCCGGGGTCCTGATGTGGAGGTTCCCGAGGTTGAGGAGCTGTCTTGGGGACCTTGGGCTCCATTGGAGTTCCGCACGGTTCCGTGTCCTTGTGGATTCTTCGGTTCCATCTTAACCAAGGTTTTCGGCTTCCCGCCTGAGGTGCGGTTGGCTATCGCGGCTTACCTCCTGCTTGACCCAGAGTACGCCTCTATAATGGATCTTTCTTCGTTCAGGTTTGGATCGTCGGGCCCTTACTGGGTGGTTCCAGTATGAGGTTCCAGGGTTATCTTGGCTTGCAGACTGCCCCTTGTTTTTGTTGGATGCTTGGGACTAGTTCTGTCGGACCCGCACATTTGAGTAATCCAAGTGTGGTCCAGGTTTACCTGGGGGACGATTTTGAGCATCTTAATGAGTGTCTCTTCGCTCCTGCCCTTTTGCGGGATGTTGGTGCGGTACAGCTCCATGTGCAGGTTCCTTCCCTGTCGGCTGCCCTTGTGCCTGAGGACTTGCGTGCTTGTGGCTTTTTGGCTTCGGTCCTGCGTTTCTTTTCCCTCCTGGAGCTGTCTTCGGATTGGCTTGCGAAGGATGTGGAGACGCTGGCTGAGAGAGAAGGGAGAGAAGGGAGCCGGTGGCCGAGTGGACAAAACACTGGACGCATGATCCTGTGGTCCCGGGTTTGATCCCGGGCGCCGGCGAGAAACGATGGGCAGTTTCTTTCACCCTGATGCTCCTGTTACCTAGCAGTAAATAGCTACCTGGGAGTTAGTCAGCTGTCATGGGCTTTTTCCTGGGGGTGGAGGCCTGGTCAAGGACCAGGCTATGGGGACACTAAAGCCCTGAAATCATCTCAAGATAACACTTGGGTCTGGCGCCTTGGTCTCGGCTGCTCGGGCATCATCTGCCATGTTGAAGCTGTTTGCACCAATCCTGCGGGAGGCGTTGCTGCGGTTTTTCGTTGCGCGTTTTGCGTGTCGTCAGGCGGCCCTTGCTTCCTCTTTCGAATCTGCTTGTGCCCTGGTTCTTAGGTTGTCTTCTCGGTTTTGTTCTCTGCTTTTTGAGGCTTCTGCAGTTGAGCTTTATATTCAGGTGGCTTCTTCCACCTGCCGCCCTATGTCTGAGTTGTTGGTGCGCGGGAGGAACCGGGGGGTTCCTTCCTGGCGGGGTCATGCCAGGGCTCGTGGTTCCGTTCGTCGGGGTAGGCCACAGGTGTTAGGTTCGGCGCCGATGCCGCCTGCGATCCCGCCTGTGCCTGGTCGGCGCGTTGTTCGCTCTGCGCGCAGGTCAGGTTCTCGTAAGGGGCAGCAGCCCTTTCGCGGTTCACCCAATTGGCGGATCTGTGGGGGGGTTCTTGGGATCTTGGGATGGGTTCTTGCTCTGTTCGCTCGCGTCTGGTCTCACGATTTGTGGGCATTTCGGGTAATTTCTCGGGGCCTGCAGTGGCATTGGGTGGCTCCTCCTCCTTCGAGGGGGGGGGGGGGGTCTGGGGCAGGCTTCCTCTCCTGCGCTCTGTAGGGTCATCTTGGAGTGGGTGTGCTTGGGCATAGTCAAAACGACGTCCCTCAGGTGGGTTTACCGCCTGTTTCCAGTTCCGAAACGGGACTGTGCAAACCTGCGGTTCATTTTGGACTTGTCCTGTCTGAACCCCTGGGTTTATTGCTCCTTGTTTCAGATGACCACTCTGTCCCAGGTCCGGCTTCTGTTGGAGCCGGGCCCTTGGATGGCGTCCCTGGACCTCGAGGCACGTCCCTATTCTTCTGGGGTTCAGGGACTGGCTTGGTTTTATTGTGGGGCGTCAGTGCTACCGCTTTCGTTGTTTCCCTTTCGGGATGAATCTGGGACCTCGCGTGTTCACACGCCTTACCCGGGTCGTAGTGGCCTGTCTGCATCTGTTAGGTGTTCGGGTGTTGGCTTACCTCGACGACTGGCTGGTTTGGGCTCCCAGTCGGTCCGCGTGTCTGCTTGCCAGGGATTTGGTGCTTTCCCAGTTCGCTGGGTTCGGGTTCCTTGTGAACTGGCGGAAGTCCCGTCTAGTTCCCTCCCAGGTTCGGACCTGGCAGAGTCTTGTGTGGGACTCTTGGACCGCTTCCTTGTCTCTTCCTCCGGCGTCTCTCCTTCGACTGCAGTCTCACCTGTGCCCGTTTCTGGGAGGCTCCCGGGTCACCCGGCGGTTGCTCGAGGGTCTGTGTGGGAGCCTGAACTTCGTGATGTTGGTCTACCTGCCGTGTCGGGTTTGGCTTCATCGGCTGTTCTGGTTCCTTCATGGACGTCCCTTCTGCCTATCTCGCGATTGCTGGGTTTGCCCCCCGGGAACTTTGTATCGCATGCTGCGTTGCTGGCTTCCTCTTCGGGTTTTTCAGGGTTCGGTGTCTTAGCGCCTTCCTGAACCCTCGCTCGATGTGTTCACGGACGCGTCGTCTCTCGGCTGGGGCTTTGTGACCAGTGCTCACCAGGCAAGCCAGGGGCGGTGGGATCCGTCCTTCCGTCGGGTCCACAGCACGGTGCGGGAGTTCACGGTGGTGTGGTTTGCGCTTCGGAGGGTTCGGGCCGCCCGCGGATCGACGATCCGGCTCCATTCGGACTGCTGCCCCGTGGTTCATTGCTTGAACTGAGGGGGGGTTTGATGCGGTCCTTGGCTTTTTGGGGTTGGTCGCTTTGGGTGACTTTTCTGCTGAGTTCTCGGGGTTTGGCTCTCCTGGCGGTTCATGTCCGGGGGGTGTCCAACGTCCTGGTGGACGGCCTGTCCAGGTTCGTTCCCCTGTCCACGGAATGGACGGTCGACACCGACTCCTTCAGTTGGCTCTGCCGGACGTTCGAACACCCAGAGGTGGAC